AACTACGAACAAAATGCTCTGAAAAATCGGAAGAAAAATGTTTACAAATATTTCCAAAAACTCGTAATTTATTAATGAAAATTCGGCAACACCTGAAGGCTCATACGGCGTTCTTCCTTAGCATGGCAGTACAGAAGGCTAAAAAGCCATTTTTTTTCTTTCCGGTGGGTTTTGCATACTGTGATTCATTTTTAATAAAACCTAAAAGCGTTTGCTTTACAGAATTTTTATCAAAAAATTGTCTGTAAATTTTAGTCCTATTTTCATGACGAGCCATGGAACTGGCCTCTAGACAAAGTACGAATTAAAGCACAAATCTACGTGTTTTCACCCGTCAAAATTCCACAAGGAAAACTAAGTACACAACGGGAGGTCTGAAAATCAACGCTTGAACAAGATATAAGTGTTTTCTTTTAACATTGGTTAAATGAAAAATTTACAAATGACGTCTTTGTATTATAGAACTTCCCTTTGATCTGTGTTTAAGAGATTTTTTGATATCTCGTTCAGGCGTTAATTTCAAAACTTACCGTTGTGTGAATTGTGACCTACCTGACATTTAGAAAAGAAAAAATTTGACGTTTTTTTCTACCTCAGACCTTGTTTAGTCCATTTCCATTAATTAAAGGACCAGTTGTACAGTCTTAACAACATCCGGTGGGGCTTAACCTGTCTTCAATTCTCTTTCTTCAAATAGAAAAAAATCATGTTAATGATGGTTACTTTTTCTTTCGCACCTGATGGACAGTGAGTCTTTCATAAAAATTGGATGTCCGAATTCTCCATCGCGTGACTAGTTTTCAACGTATTTTGAATCGAGAATTTCGGACAGGGTCCGCACTTTTTTCATCGTCCCATCGACGAATAGATCCAATTTTGAAATTTCATTTCCCCTCGTCGGTTGGAGCACCCTGTATACATACATTTCAGTCGCCTTTACAGCGCGCCCGGGCGCTCTGCGACACCTAATCGCCATTCTTGTCTATCGATCTAGAGGTCATCTGGTAAATGGCGTCTTGTAATTTCATCTTGAATGCCACCTATCCACCATTCAGCTGGACGTTCCCTACGTCTCCTCCCAGGAGGAACCCAGGAGGAACCCAGGAGGTGCCTAAGAAGGCACTAGATTGGAACACCCTGTATACAGGGCATCTTCAATATAAAATTTTGATTGGAAAATTTTGGACAGGGTCCGCACTATTTTCATCGTTCCATCGACGAATAGAGCCAATTTTGAAGTTGTATTTTTCCTCGTCGGGTAGAGCACCCTGTATGCAGGTCATTATTAAAATTTTTCCACGTATAATTTTGAGTGGAAAATTTTGGACAGGGCCCGCAATTTTTTCATCGTTCCATCGACGAATAGAGCCAATTTTGAATTTGTATTTTCCCTCGTCGGGTAGAGCACCCTGTATACAGGGCATTATTAAAATTCCGGCGAGAGACGCGGCAGCGCTCAGTCGGGGATAATTGGAGAGTTTTACTCTTCGGTTTCGGCGAAAAATGTCAGTCCCCCCTCTCCCCGCGGATCCGCTCCCTCCTCTCCGCTTAATTCTCACCTGGTCGTCATTCCGTTTCCTTTTATTTCCTTCCGTGCTTCCTCTCCTCTAATTTGTCTTATGAGTTATTCAACACATTCTTTCTGGAAGTTTTTGAGCCCCGGCCAAGTTCCCCGCCGCCACCGCCGCCGCCAGAGGCGCGAGTCGCTTTCGCCTCCAAGTTCCAATGAAATATCACTCCTTTGCCTGGCTTTTGTAGCCCGAGCCGGGTGATACATGTGAAATGTATACGGCAACTTGAATAGTCTTGTTTGTTTACAACTCATGAGAATGGGACGCACAGGGGACGCCGTTTCGCACCGCTGCCGTCGCCTTGAATCAATTCCCAGCTCCGGAACTTTTCGATTTTTCCCGGTTCAACCCGGAATCTTTGAGATTTCCCGAATTTTTCTCATTTATTGATTTTTTTTGTTTTGTTTTCCCCCATGCTCTTGATGTTTTGAGGAATCTGTCTGTTATTTCCAAAACACCTTGTTTAGTAAAGTACACTGAATAAAAAGATTGATAGAATTTACCATTTCTTCACGCTGTATTTCACACAGCGTCAATTCAGAGTCAATTCTGCCAGAAGAAATAATCGTTACTATATACTGGTACAGGTAACCATTCTTTTGGCAGAATCGACTTGAAGATTGGTAGAATTTACCACTCCTTCACGCTGCGTGAAATAGAGCGTGAAGATGTGGTAAATTCTACACATATTTTTTTCAGTGTTCAATGGTTTTACCTCTGTACTTTTGAAGAAAAACAAGGGAACGAACGAGTTGCGGAATTCAAGTCGAGCCCGACTGGCAGCACTGCCATGGCGTTTCGTTATTGTGTTCCGGCAGGCTCTGCTCCAAGGCTTCCTTCTTTCCTCCTTTCCCTTTCTATTCCTTCCCCGAACATGATAGATTGATGTTATATTTGTGTATATTGGTTCCCTGTATTTCCAAGAATAACTCGCGCCTCCAGACAAGAAGCAAAAGTTTCAATCATCTCGTAAATATATAGCTCGGGACTTTCGCCGCTTCATATTTTGAATGTCGTCCTTATCGTCTCATTTGCAGCAGCTGTATCAGTTTTCTCGATCGCCGCGTTACGCGACCTCGGAGGAATAAATTTGAAGAAATACTCCTCCAGTTGATTCTTTTCCGAGAATCATGAGCGGAGGAAAAATTTTCTCTGCACGGCCGGAAAACCTCGGTTTCTCGGAAACTGAGTTTTCTTCAAAATCAAAGTTTTAAAATCAAATATCCGAATTCCTCGGAAGAAAATATGAATCTAGGTAAAATATTGCGTTTATGGTGTTGTATACAAACCGAAGTTTTTTTGAATGCGTGCGCAACCGGATGGTGGAGGGGAAAACCATTCTGGGATAGTAGCGATTTTGCAAGTTGGCAGTACTTCCAGCACATTTAAACCCATTAAAAATATTGATTTTAGGTGTGTCAAGCTGCCTCACCAAAAGTCGATAGTTTTACATGTATTTCAATGGAGGAAAAGCGGTGTTCCCAACTTTCAAGAACCGTCACTGTTCTGCAGAGGAAGGGGGCGGTAGATTTTTGAGGTGGTAGCAAATCTCTCGCAAAACTACTCTTTCTACGACTGTTAAAAAAAATTAAATTAGTGATATCGTCCTATGTGGCTTGATGTGTTCCTCAGAAGTGCAAGTTAGATTGTGTATCTTATCTTAACTTCATTATTAAACTCATCAAATTAAATTTGATATTTACGCAGGAAATCCTAATCCAAAAATTTTTAAATCCAAAAAGCTAAATATACATATTTTTGCAACTGAAAAGCACAAAAAATCCTCCCAAAATGTATCTTTAGTTTTTTTTTTATTATTGTTTAATCTACGACGTAACTCGCCAAAATCTTTCATTTTCACCTAAAAACGGTACTTGTCGGTTATCTTTCGTCTGATTCTTTTAAATATATACATACACAAAAAAAAATACTTAAAAGCATCCACTTATAAATAAAATCATACATCAAGCAGTTTGAAAACTCAACGGAAAAAATTAAAAAATTCTACAAACCAAGGTCTAAAAAATGACACAAAGTTCCAGAGGTCTCTAAGTAGTAGCGACCCCTATGTCGATCCGTAAGGAAAAGATTAAATTACATTAAGGTGATTCGATGGACGCCATATTTTGTGTCAGAACGGCACGCGATATATCGCATCAGTTGGTTCCATTTTTTCAGCTACTCGTCATTTTTCTCCAATTTTGAGATCGCAATTTTGTTGTCTGGAGACTAAAGCACTCACTTACCAATTTTAACAAAGAAATTCAACGTAATAATGCGTGGTTTTTTTTTAGAGAGAAAACATCACATTCGATACTGATATCGAAACTGCGCTCGAATGCGATATTTTCTCTCTAAAAAACCACGTTACGTTGAATTTCTTTCTTAAAATTGGTAAGTGAGTGCTGTAGTTTCCTGACAACAGAATTGCGATCTCAAAATTGGAGAAAAATGACGAGTAGCTGAAAAAATGGAACCAATTGATGCGACATATCGCACGCCGTTCTGACACAAAATATGGCGTTCATCGAATCACCTTAAGGGCAGAGTTTTCGTAAATGGACCGCGTTTAGCGGAACGCCTTCAATTGATGCGTGACACTTCACGCATTCTGGAGAGTTTGAATAGTTGTATCATTGCGCCTTATTAAAGCGACGTAAGATTTGCATGTGTACTTAAGAAAAGCAGGTACTGAATAATGTAAATGCGTTCTTTTTGACATTTTCAGCTGATTAAATTCAATATATCTTCATCGGCAAAGGGATTGTTACTGCTCTAAAATGCCTCATTCATTTTGTGTCTTTTTTGGCCTCAACATGGCGGAAAACATATGTTTGTACCGACTGATGAGCTCAGTAGAAATTAAAAAGACTGAACCTCAATAGTGTGAACCAACTTCTTAGGTTGACAGAACCGAACCTTAGTTCGGTAAACCGAGGATGTAAATTTACTAACCGAAAAACTTCGGTCTGTATAGAACATGGTCCTTATTGACCGAAGTTTTGTGGTCTCGGTGAACCAAGAAATCGGTTCTGTCAACCAAAGTGGTCTGCTCTAACAACGTATGTTCTACTTAACTTATCAGTTCGTATACCTAAGATGTATTTGGACCACATTTTGCAATTTTGAACTATAGTTTTTTGGCTCAGTTTAGAAACCACGCATGTATCATTAGTTTCCACATACACACACGTGTTTTGACGAATGAGCCAGAAATTGTAGGTCCAAATTGCATAATGTATAGTCCATTATCTGCTTCACTTCGTTTCGTTTCTGTAACCATTCTCCTAAATTCCTCAAATGATTAAATCCACCAAAAAGTATTCGTATTGAAAAATGTGTCAATAGTATTTTGAATGTAAACCATACCTAAATGCGTAAAATTCCTCATAATTAACTTTGAAAATGTGTTTGTTTGATTCCGGGAAGTGCTGACGAGAAATTCGACGGCACGTTTCACACGAACGTTCTGGTCAGGAATAACGGTACCTGCTTGTACATCCCGCCGGGAATATTCAAAAGCACGTGCAAGATAGACATCACGTGGTTCCCGTTCGACGACCAGAAGTGCGATATGAAGTTCGGCAGTTGGACCTATGATGGTTTTCAGGTACTCATCACCGCACACAATTCTCCGTGTTTCGGTGTCTCGGTGTTTCGGATTGGCATGGTCTTCAACGCACCAGTGGCGTGGCGTCCTGTGCTTTGCGATATATCGATTGATCTGTCATTTAAACCTATGGAAAAGGATCGATGTGCAGGGTGTTCGCAACGAGCACCTTGATAATCGATTCTTTACCGTAGCTTCAAATGGGGAAGTATCGATAATCGACCATTCACGCCTCGCCACTGCAACGCACAACTAAGCACTCATCACTAACGGACAGCTGAATGCAAGAGTATTTTAGTCGGATCTTAATGGTCAAGTGATTATCAATCCTAAGTGACCACACCTTTGAAAAGCAAATTTTCAAAAACTCATAAGCTCTTAAGACCCCGGGGGTTTCACAATTTTTATTGTGCTTCAGTTCTGAAGTCATTTTTTTTGTTTACACTTCTTTTTACTTATATTTTTTAACAGTTTTTTAACACCGTTCTTAGGTACTTAAATTTTACCCATTGCAAAGCACTACGAAAATTACGCGAGAATGGTTTCCTAAAGCATACATCATAGTAGCTCTTAATATACGTTTCAAGAGCTGTCTTTTTTCAACTTTTTGTGAATAGCTGTTGTTACAAGTCAACTAAGTAAAGTTTAAAAAAAATGCATATATTAATAACAACTCTGGTAAAAATAAAACGCTACTTGTCCATATTCCAACAGACGAGTTGTGATTTGAAGCGCTGCAGGTAGCTCATTAACTTCTTACTTCATTCGACTGTACTCTTGCATTCAGCCATCCAATCGACTTAAAAAGTAAAAGTGGCGTCAGTCGTTCGATCTTTGGGAATCAGTGTGTGACCTAACGTTTAGGAACATGAGAACAGTTTTAGAAGCATCTTTTAACACTAAACAGATTCCTAGGTGTTTTCAAAACATGATGTTCAATTCATTTAATGGGCCTGTTGCAAACTTTTGCTAGAGCAAAACTAAGAGTTGTTTCTTATAGATAATGCCTCAAAAATCACGATGAGCGCATCGGCAAACTCTGAAATGCACTCATAACTTCACAATCTGCGTAAGAAATTTGCGGTTTTTTGAGCTTCCCGCTTCAAAAACGATACTACGGCACAGGTGAACATTTTGTAAGAGGAGTCGTTCCATCGTCGGCAATAATCATCATAGCCGACGCCAATCCGCCAAAACACGTTTGATGGGACGAGATAACACCTGAACTGGATTAGACCAGATAACAATCGGTGTGTTAACGTTCATATTTTCCACGCCCGAATGGATTGACCTTGAACTCTCCTTGAATTACGCGCGGAACTGCGTGCAAGCGTCGGCCATGATGAATATCGCCGACGATGGAGCGACTCCTCTAACAAAATGTTCACCTACGCCGTAGTATCGTTTTTGAAGCGGGAAGCTTAAAAAAACGCAAATTTCTTACGCAGATTGTGAAGTTATGAGTGCATTTCAGACTTTGCCGATGCGCTCCTCGTGATTTTTGTGGCATTACCCACAAGAAACAACTCCTATTTTTGCTCTAGCAAAAGTTTGCAACAGGCCCATTGGCACTATGTGACAAGCGATGATTTCCTCAAGAATTTTCGAAACGTTTTATTCGACCTAAGCCACTTTTACTTTTCAGGATACAATTTTTTATCTCTTCTCAAATTTTATATCCGTATTATGAGGGTGTCATAAAGTAAGGGGCTGTATTTTCTTCCCTTTTAGATAGAACCAGTTCCTTTTGAATCTCATCATTTTAGTAAAGAATTTATCACAATCCCTTAATTTATCACATCCTCCTTTTCAAATACATGTTCCACCGAATCTCTGTGTTTTTAGATTTGCGCTGTCTCTGTGTGTCTGGTGTGTTTTTCTACTTCTTCTTCTACACACTTCTACTTCACATCTTAATGTTTTAATCACTCTTTCTTCTCCGTTTTTGAATAAGGGGACAGGGATAAAGTGGAGCGAAGCAACATTTCTTCCATCGTTGCAAAATAGGTATCTTTAATCTAAAGCAATGATGTATCCGTCGTCTTTTTTTAGTAAAATACACCGTTACTGTAAAGCTTTCAATGTTTCATTATTTTTTCAAATTCAAGGCCTCTTAGTGAAGGTGTTGAATAATGTTCATGGCCTTAAGAAGAGTGTGTTTGAATAATTCCTGGTTTTAAAAGAGTAGAAGTTTATTTTTTAAATGGTTGCTAGCTACCTCTCTACCCTGACTCCTTCCGGCGGTCAGTGTTAAATGTTGTTGAGGATGAGATTTTTCAGCGATGGTTTATACTCAACTCAGACATAATCGCAAGAAAATCACTCATTCTATAATGTGTGCTGGCATTCTGTGGTGTGTTCATTTGCGAGGAATAAAAATATCACTTAGTTTCTAGAGTTATGCACCCTCTTGTTTTAATTTTTTTTCAATGTAAAGAAATTTACAAAAAAAAAAAAAAAAAAAAAAAAAAAAAAATTAACAGTGTCAAGTAAGGGATTCTTATGATGTTAGAACTTCCCAATCTTTGCGTCTATGCCAAGTCTTTCTCATTTTTAAGTGTTATTTTTACTCCTCATTTAAGTGTTACTTTATCCCAGTGTTTTCTTCTCACTTCCTTCCTTTTCTTACTGTTGTTTGATGAAAGTATTGGAAGTTCACTTTTACGTTTATCTTTAATGTCACCATTGTCGTTCAAATTGTGGTATTTGAATACGGTGTAGGGTTAGTTTTGTTTCAGGCCACACTAAGCAAATGCGAGCTTTACGAACTCAGCGTACGGGCATACTTCCTTTGCACGCACACGGAACCCCACAAATAATGTCACTGCATCGGAAAAATAACCGCATGCATTTTCCTCTACCTTTATTTTTAATGATTCTCTTACCACAAATAGTTCCTCACTTACAACTGTATCTCGCGGTGTTCGCATTTCCGGCTTGTTGCACTCTTAGCCCATCTCGGTAAAATCGAGCAAGCGCACTTGAAGTAATAGTTTAAAAACGTGATTTTTCTCACTTAATAGAGTATTCATTCTAATTTCGAGAAAAAAAAATTAGGCTTTAAACAACTTTCATTGGTATAAAAAGTAAATTTTTGACTTGAATGAATTTCCGAACTACCCAGTCGAAGCTCTCTCAATCCAAACAAAAAAGTATTCGTTCTCAATGACGAATTATATAATAACGATTTTTCATAGAAACCCCCATCGAGAAGAAAAACTATTTTTTCAGGCAAACATTTTTTCTAAAATAAAAAAAGAAACAAATTCCAAATTAAAGAGAGATCTGTAGAGTCAAAAAACGTCTCTACGGACCAAAAATAATATCAAAGACTAAAGTAAAAAATGCGCACCTCCGTACGTTTGCATATCTGAGCTCATTGTTTTAATTTGGTAAAAGAAAATCAATCATAGGTTTTCCCCAAAATGTTTGTTAATTTCCTTCATTTATATAAAAATATTGTCTGTTAGTTTTCTTTTAGAAAAATAAGACATGACCGAAGATGTGTACAAATGTTTCAATACACTTCGCGTGTTTCTTGACTTTAGCCTCTGATGTTTTTCGCTTTATTAAAAACGTTTCATAAGCATTTACATCAAAGCGGCAAACTATTTTCAGAGAAACGGCCTGTTAAATGTTCCCTTTTTCCGTTCTCATGTAATAGTTCCAACGCTAAATTCGTTAAACGCGGTTTCCAAGCAAAAAGCCGGACCCCCTTAATGCCTTGTCAAGTGCAGCCGTACCCTAGGATAGAGCGCTATACCTACAGCAAGAAAAGTTAAAAGTTGAAATCTATACAAAGTAGTTCGGTGGATACTCTGTGTGAGCAAAATTGCGCACCAGGCGCAAATCGCGGTAAAAAGCAACAAGTGAGAGAAAGGGGGAGCTTTTTCGTGATTTGATTGTTCCGAGTACACTACCCAGAGAATAATGACCATTGTCAGAAAATCTGAGAAACCGGGGAAAGTCGCGGAAAAATGTAGTAAACAAGTGGCGGAATAGCATGTTACATGATACAAAATGTGTCATAGTTAAATCGTCGGACTCAGTGGCGGTTTTGCAAGTTGACATCACAATTTTCCTCCAATTAAATCCATTAAAAATATCGATTTAGGTGAGGCGAGCTGCATTCGATTGTTTTTCATACATTTAAATGGAGGGAAAAAATGTTGCCAATTTTTAAAGAATCGCCACTGGTCAGACTGCAAGAGATTGTTTTACGACCCATTAGGTGTATTTATTCGATTATAAGAGTTTTCTGAAGAGTATCACAGCCGCGACCGCCAATATTTTTTTTAGAAAATAGTCGTTTTATTTGAATTTAGGCAACATTTAAGAACCAAAATTTTAGAAATTTCGGGCCCATAATTCATGGCGCCAAATTCATTTATGGCTTTAAAATATGGAGATCTTATTGAAATGGAGTTTTAGAGTTGATCCTTAATCTTGCAAGATCACCTCTAATTTCTTCTTATCTTCAGATTACAATAATTTTGAGACCTTGGATGAAAATAGCGCTGAAAATTACGGGTAGAAGTATTTTTCTTGAGTTTGGTTCATAATTGTCTAAAACCAAGAGTTATAGTAAAAACAATTTTCTCAAAATTTTGATGGGATTTCTTTTGTCGGAAAAATTGCTCGAGGAAAAGTCTTATTATAAAATGCTTCCGCAGTCTGATTGTTTCACTTTTGAATATCTGTATTTGCAGCATGTCTCTCATACGTGCGAGCCGGAATGAAAATCTTAAAATTTGTATTTATCATCTCGTTTTTGCTGAGAAAGCACGTAATTCTATTAAAATCTGTCGAAGAATACCTAGAAAAGTCGAGGAATCCACTCTTACAGGGACTACGTTAAGCAGAAAGGGAATAAGCCACATCAGCTGTTGCCAGATTTAATTGGACAATTTAATTTCTACATTTAAGTGGTTGTGCGGATGTTTTTTCTGCAAATATCAGTGAATTTCCTGCAAAGCACGAGACAAAGTCCTTAAAATTTG